AATCCCATCTTAAATTGATATCAGTCAACTTCATTTCTGAACAAAAAATCCAAAATAAAAATTTAAAATTTTGAACTCTTTCCTTTGGATCACCTTTTGCTTCTGACATTTGAATGACTTTCCTTTAAAACATTTATATGAAAACATCCGCTGAATGCATTAAACTACTATTCAATGAATGAAAAAAATGGCTACCTCCTTTTTTTAAAGGGAAAACACTTGACTAAGAGTCCTTGGCCATAGAAAACATGGTCCTTACATAGATAAGTGCATAGATGAGGATGATGATGATGCATTGAAAGTGGAAGTAGAAAAAATGGGAGAAATGAAACGATATCGACAAATAACAACAAAAAAACTGCAGTTTTTAATAAAGGATGTCAGTCAGTTACATTGTCGACACAACGACAAGAGAGCTTCGAGGAAGTATTTGTGCTGCTGCCAGTGTGGATGAATTATGTATTGTTCAATCAATTATTGAAAAATGAATGAATGAATTTATTGCGAATCGATAGGTGAAGTAAGCCAAAGCGTTATACGGATTAAAGTAGTTTTGTGTTTAAGGTGAAAGGGTCCACATTTTTTGTACTTTAAAGGAATATTTTTTTATAGGGTCTTATGAACGAATTTTCAAAGATTTTTTGGAAGGCTATATATCAGATTTTTTTTATTTTTGAATGCTATATGAGAGTAATTTATCGTTTGGGGACATTTTAGAATTTGGGATTTTAGTAAGCAATTTTTGCTTAGGCGTAGGGTTTAAAAAAAGTTTTTGGAGATTTATAAGCGTGTATTTTTAAAGAAGTTTTAAGAGTTCTCAAAGCGTTGATTTCTAAAGAAGTTTTTGGAGAACAATAATCAGGGATCTATAAGTGTGAATTTTTAAATAAGTTTTTGGAGATCTATAAGCTTGGATTTTAAAAAATCCAAGCTTATAGATCTAAAAACATCGATTTTTAAAGAATATTTGGAGGAATTTAAAAAAATGTATTTTAATGAAATTTTTAAATAACCTCTTGGAGAAAATTTCTAATGAATTTTTGTAGGACTATAAGCTCGTATCTTTTGGAAAACTAATGCCTGGCTTTTAAGTCTCTTTTTACGAAAATGTCCCTCATCGAAATATTGATTTTAAACCCATGTTTCTTAGGTTCTAATCCGTTTCAGGCTCGTCCACACCATTTTTGTTTTTAAAATTTTTTCAGACCTCACTGGCGCACAATAAGTCTCTAAGAGAGTAACCGACTTCATCTAAACTTTGCACATCGCAATATTTCTTCTAAACATAAATCAAGGTACCTCCCACACGAAATGGTCACGATATAGCTAAAATTTAATTTTATAATATGATGCGAACGGAGTATCCCATTTGGAACAAACTTTATACAACCTAATATTTAAAACAAGCCTGTATAATGTTGGAAGATGGAACTTATCGCTCCACTCCGATGAACAAAGCGAACGAAATATCCACACTTCATACAAACACATCGTTATATTTTTTCCAATCCTAGGTCGGCCGATGGTAGCCTCTCCTACAAAGTGTCAAATTTTTCAATTTTTAGGAATTCAATATTAAGCAAATGGAATGCCCGATTTGACCCAAACTCTGCTCCTTATCGTACTTTTACCAACTCTAAATTATGTTCGGTCCATTTTTTCTAGTACCCCACCCATAAAGGGTCAACATTTTTATACCCTTCAGCATACTGTGGTTCAGGGTATTATGTCTTTGTGCATATGTTTGTAACAGGCAAAAGGAAACGAGATAGACACATGGTTCCTTTTGAGAATATGCACTCACTTTCTATGTCGATTTATACATGTCCGTCTGTCTGTTAAATGTTAAATTGGAAACAAAGTACAGGTCGCATTTATGATCCGAATTGGATGAAATTTGGCATAGGTAGCTTATTTGGCTCAAGGACGAACCCTATTGAAATTGTGAAAAAACAGTTCAGATATCAGATATAGCTGCCATATATATTTTCGTCCGATTTAATGTAAATGGTGTACCAAATGCCCTATATATAATTCGATTTGCACGAAATTAGGCAAAGCGTAATGAATTGAGTCTAGAATGGTGAGCGGTAAGTTTCGTGAAAATCGGTTCAAATTTAGATATAGCTGCACATATATATTTTCGTCCGATTTAAAGTAAATGGAGTACCAAAGTCCCTATATATCTTTCGATTTGCACGAAATTAGGCACAGCGTACTGAATTGAACCTAGAATAAAGTGTGCTAAGTTTCGTGAAAATCGGTTCAGATTTAGATATAGCTCCTATATATATTTTTTCGTCCGATTTAATGTAAATGGTGTACCAAAGTCTCTATATATCTTTCGATTTCCACGGAATTTGGCACAGCGTACTGATATCTTTCGATTTGCACGAAGTTTGACAGATTTAGATATAGCTGCCATATATATTTTCGTCTGATTTAAGGGAAATGGTACAAAAAAGTCCCAAATATCTTTCGATTTGCACGAAATTTTGCATGGTGTACTCAATTGAATCTAGAATGACGTGTGCCAAATTTGGAAATCGGGTCAGATTTTTACATAGCACCCATATATATTTTCGTCCAATTTAAGGTAAATGGGGCTCCAAAGTCCCTATATATCATTCGATTTGCCCGAAATTTTGGCATAGGGTACTGAATTAGGTCCAGAATTATGTGTGCTAAGTTTCGTGAAAATCGGCTCAGATTTAGATTAAGCTCCCATACATATTTTCGTCAGATTTAATGTAAATTATGCACTAAAGCCAATTATGCCAATTTATGTCAATGTTCCTTCGAACAACATATGGACCTGTATACTAATTTTCTGCAGACTTGTATGTTACCCCCCAGAAACCGGAAAGCAAAATTACAACTCCTTCTAAAAAAAAAAAAAAATTACAACTGCGACTAAACATTTCTAAACAACGAAAACTGAATGTCCAAATCCAAAACGTTATGCAAAGCCTTTTAACATTCCCCAAAGCTGGACTTGAAGATTTTACTTCGGTAAGAAAATCCGGTTGCACTCTTAAAAATTCCCAAACTATTATATGAGGCTTATGCCAATATGGCGTTCACCACCCTCTTCGGTTAGAACATGCAAAACCCGTAAAAACTTAAATGTAGCGGTGCTGTCATGTGGGACAAACCCTACGCAACCTGTGCGCAAAATTCCGACTTAACTACTTTCCTTCCTTTTTTGTAAATAAGCGTAGCTTTTTTAATTATTTTTGGAGATGTCAAACTTCTTAGAAGTTTTTTTTTGTAAGACTAAAGCCAGAATTCGTACAATTTGAATACGAAGCAATTTAAATAATTTGGACTGTATACACAAATTAGTACTGTACACAAATTAACCCTCTTCTCTATATTGAAAAGCTCATAACTTTACCAAAATCACTTTACACTTTTATTAATATAGGTATGGGTCCATCATATCTGGTACCTCCCCCTACTATCAAAAAAATAAATAATTGTCCACAACACCGACCGACACTTTTTTATTTGTTTTAATAAAAAATACTGTTTTATTATCAGTTATCGGATTTTATTGATCAGATGTCATCAAATCCTTATAATTTGATTTCAAACGTGTGTCTGAAATCCAAAATCCAATTTTTAATTAATAGTCTTTTTATGATTCCGACTGAAGATTTTGTCACTCAATTCCAAAACAAATCCTTAGGCAGATTAAACGTTTGTGTTTTCTCATTAAATATATTTGTATCTCCGTATATCTCCACTCCCCCTCTCGTTTGCTCTCTGTTATAAAAATAATAACAATAAAATCGATTTGATTCGTGGAAATATATCAGATTTTCCAGAAATATTTTTCATGCTCTATTATATTATTTTTAAAGAATATTTTCACAGGGACCAACACAAGGCGTGGATTTTTTATCATTAGAACCACGTGTATCTGAAATCCAAAATCCAATTTTTAATTAAAAGCTTTTTTATGATTCCGACTGGAGAATTTTGTCATTTATTTTCAAATTCCCCACAAACAAATCCTTAGGCAGATTAAACGTTTGATGTTTTCTCATTAAATACATTTTTATCTCCATCTATATCCACTCCCCTCTCTTTTGCACTCTGTCATAAAAATAATAACAATAAAATCGATTTGACACACACACACAAACTAAGTCCTTAAAATTCCACACGTTGCATTGTTGAGTGTTATATATACATATATATTGATCCAATGTTTTTATGTATTTACGCTGAATTGTTTTCCCAACACCACATACTTCGTGTACACCTCTTCAACACTCACACACATCGCCGTGAGGACGTCTTTATTGCTGCAAATAAAAATACTGAAAATGCCAAAGAGAAATTAATTTCAACAATTCATTGTTTCGAATCTCCTACGCATTTTCATTTCTTTCTACTGTCTTATTGTTGTTGTTTTTTTTTTTTGTATTTTATTTGTGTTTTTTTTTCTTGCACTCATCATCCTTTAGTTTCATTTCGTTTGTTGTGTCTTTGTTTGCAATTGCACGTAACATGGTTGTCTTATATATTCCGGTCTGTTCGACATCCTTTCAGTTTTGTTGCTATTGTGGCTAGTTATCTTTCGTCGAAGGTCCCCTTTTTGGTCCCCTCTTCCCTTTGGGTTGCTGCGGTTTTCATGATGTTACACAATTCTTGAACATCCGCCAATGTTGCATTTCCGGCACGAAATGCTGCTATAGTTGTTGGGGTCTTGGTAAGGAGGAGGGCGAGAAGGGGAAATTCCAGGGGAAAGGGAGAAAACAAATATTTTTTTCCATTACAATTGCATTTAATCCGTTTTTATTCCAATGACTTAATTTAAATACGTTACTGCTGCTATTATTACTGCCAGCTGCTGCATGGTGTCCTATTACCCATCACCTTCATCTCATTCGTCATCATCGACACTGTGCATACCTCTGTGATGTTGTGGTTTATTATTGACAGTTGGTTTTTATATGTTCCACTCTTTGTCTTCTTGTTTTTCATTGCAGATTTCGTTTTGGCTTTAAAATGTTTTTCCGCTGGTGTCCATTTGTCCATGTCGGTGCTGAGAGTCTAAATCGTCGTGATAACCTGACATCACGCTATTCATGCTCCGGTTCACCTGATCACAATCGCATCAAACGTAATGGTAAATGTTCCAAATTTGGTACACTAACACACATGAATGATTCGTCAGGCGATATTAGAGGGGGTCGAGAAAAAAATACTTTTTTTTAAGAAAAAATCTGTCGACCACTAATTTGGCCCTCGGCGAACCATAGAAAACAATAACCATTCTTATAATATTTTTTTTTAACTTGACCCACCCTAATGTCACCTGGAGCTCTCTCATGTATGCTCAACTATTGGAAATTTTGTAAAAATATGCATATTAAATTAATTGAAGCTAACCTGTGACACATAATTGAGGTGTGAACTAAATTCGACACCAATTGCTGCACAGTGGTTTCAAATAATTTATTTACCAAAATATCGAAAATAACTTTTGATAATTTTGTCAATTTTTATATTCCTTCTTTAGATACTCAACGTTCATTCCTGTACACATGTCCTGGTTCGCCAAAAAGTCGACGCATATCCCACAGTGGTAAGTTTTAATTTTTTTCTGTGACAGTTACCATGGGAATTTAGAAAAAAATCTATGGAAATATTTTGAATTTAATTGGATCGGATAAGGAATCCATAAATAATTGGACGCCTTAAAAAATATTTTTGTGTATTGGTAAAGACCAAAACTATAAAAAAATCGGCTTTCGTAGAGAGCTCAATTTGGATAATTGGCCAAATTCGTGGAAAAGGTATCAGATTTTCCACTATTATAGGCGTGGATTAAAAAAAAAATATTTTTGTTCAGGGACAAATAACGGGGTGGATTTTTTAAAAATATTTTTTTCAAGGACTATTATTGGAATGAATTTTTTACAAATATGTTTTAAGGGCTATTGTAGGCGTGAATTTTTTTACAAATATGTTTTAAGGATTATTATAGACGTGAAATATTAAAAATTTTTAAGGACTATTATAGGCGTGGAGTTTTTTAATTGTTTTTAAGGACTATTATAGGCGTGGGTTTTTTCAAAAAAAAAAATTGAGTGCTATTATAGGCGTGGATTTTTCAAAAAAAAATTTTGAAGGATTATTATACTTACTTAAGCCGAGCTTAAAAAAGCTTCCATAAGCCGAGCTTAAAAAAGATTTCTAAGCGCGTCGGTCTTGTGCGCATCTCCTCCAATTTGAAAGACCACGTTCCAAAATGTTGTTTTCTACGTTGGGTTTCCATCTAATTCGTGGCCTTTCCCTTCTACGGGAACCATCAGTAGGCTCGCTTTTATATGCCTTTTGAGCTGTGGCATTCTCATTCATTCGCACAACATGGCCTAGCTATCGTAGTCGCTGCAGCTCAATACGACTGACTATGTCGATGTCGGCGTATAAATTGTAAAGCTCGTGGTTCACTCGACGTCGATATCCACCGACGACGCTGATCGGCCCCTAGATCTTTTGAAGAATTTTTCTTTCCAACACCCCAAGAGCTGCCTCATCTGCTTGCGCAAGTACCCATGATTCAGGTGGCCTTGTTTCTAAACTGCTTACATAGACCATCGTAGCATCTGTTGGCCATCACAATCGTTCTCCGAATTTGAAAACTGACGTCATTCGTTTTATTTATGGCGGTACCAAGGTATATAAAATCTTTAACTACCTCGAAGCTGTAGTTCTCAAGTTCCACAGTCGGTCCGAGTCTGCTGGACGTCTTGCGCGTTGATACCATTAGCTTGGTCTTCTCGCCGTTTACTGCCAGACCCACTTTGGCAGATTCCTTCTCAATTTTTTCAAAGGTGGCTGTTACCGCTCGCAATGTTCGACCCATTATATCGATGTCATCGGCGTAGGCGAGTAACATGTGTTGTCTGGTGTACAGAGTGTCATTTCTGTTCACCTTTGCGTCTCGTATTACCTTTTCCAGCAGTATGTTGAAAAGATCACACGTTGGTCCGAGTCTGCTGGACGTCTTGCGCGTTGATACCATTAGCTTGGTCTTCTCGCCGTTTACTGCCAGACCCACTTTGGCAGATTCCTTCTCAATTTGTTCAAAGGTGGCTGTTACCTTTTTCGACCCATTATATCGTTCATCGGCGTAGGCGATTAATGTGTTGTCTGGTGTACAGCATTTCTGTTCACCTTTGCGTCTCGTATGACCTTTTCCAGCAGTATGTTGAAAAGATCACACGACAAACTGTCACCTTGTCTGAATCCTCGTTCGGTATTGAAGGGCTCCGATAGGTCCTTTCCAACTTTAACTGCTGACCTTTTGCCACTTAAAGTTATACTGCATAGCCGTATTAATTTTGCAGGAATACCGAACGTAGACATGGCTTTAAAATGTCATTGACCATTGGCTTCAATGCGGCTTTACACAGCACATTAGGTGATATGTGTCATGTGTTTTTCATATTTGGCGCAGAGTGAAAATCTGGTCAATGGTGGAGAAGGCTAATTCCGCATTAGTTGTCACATAATGTCATTGTCTCCTTTTTTGTGCACGGGACAAAGGTGCTGAGGTTCCAATCATTGGAAATGCATTCTTCTAGCCAAATTGTACTAATCAGCTGTTGCATGCTCCTGACCAGCATCTGACCGGACTTCATTCTGACTCCTGTACATATCGATTTGCTCACGCTCACGTTTTTCTATTTCTTTCTTATTTTTTCTGAAAACACGTTTCTCCTCTCTCCTTTTTCCCGATAATTCTCCATCACATTACGTGTTGCTACTGTCTGCAGGGTTGCCCTATACGCTGCGTTTTTCACATCAGTAACATTACGACATGGGTTTCTTGGTGGTGGCTTTTGGTACCAAAGTGTTGCTTTTGCTGCAGTTTGTAGGGAGTGGGCAATTCTTTGCCATTGTGCTTCTATACTAATATCGGGACAAGAAGTGCTTTCGTCAAGCAGGTGGGTAAGTTGAGCGGAGTAGGCCTCGCATACCTGTTGTTTTTGAAGCTTTTCGGCGTCGAGTTTCCGTGTTGCGTTAGATCGCACCTTCGCTGCAACATTAAGACGAGTGCGAACCTTGGCTGCTACAAGGTATTGAGTGGTCCGAATCGATATTCGATCCTCGGATCGATCGAACACCTAATACACTGGATGAATGCCATCCGTCTATCACAACATGATCAATTTGATTTCTCGTTGCTTGATCAGGAGAAATCCAGATGCTTCAATCTGGTGCTGCTAACTACCATGTTTTTTGCTGCCGCGAAGTCAATCAACCTCATGCCGTTATCGGATGTTTCCTCATGAAAGCTGAATTTTCCGGCAGTGGGACCGAAAATATCTTCCCTTCCGATTTTTACATTAAAATCTCCTAGCAGATTTTAAATGTCATGGCCAGGGCAGCAGGCGCTCATAAAAAATTTCGTTGGTCTGTTCATCTTTGTCTTCGGTCGAAGCATGATCGCAAATAAGACTGATGTAGAAGAACCTCGCTTTTATGCGAATTATAGCAATTCGCTTATCGACTGGACTGAATCTGGAGACGAGGTCTTTTATTCTCCTGTTATAAATCCGCAGCCAAAGTCATGTCTCGTTTCTTGGCAGCTATAATACAGTGTGTAATCGTCTGATTTACTTACGCCTGTCTCTTTCCATCGAATTACCTGTAAGGCAATAATATCGGCTTTGTACTTCTTGAGTACATCCGCCAATGCGAAAACTGCAACTGTTCTTTAGATTCGAAGATCGTGGTCTTTTATAGGTTTGCGGGGGTTGTCAACATTACGGGGGTTTGGTTTTCTTTTTCATAGTAGGAGGGGTTTGCAATTGGTGTGGGCAATTGGGGATTTATGAGAGATTGTAGCTCAGACAATTGACCACTGATGGTTCATGGCTATGCTACAAACATGAGCAGCTGCATCTAGCGGCAATTGTCTGTACTAAAATTTATGGTTTTTTATATATCCCTTCCATAATCCCTACTAGTCGACAATTTTATGAAATTAACAATAAGTATTATTTCAGTATCCGATTATTTCTGTATAAGTATCCCGACAAATTTTGTATTTCTTTCCGAGTAACCCTATATTAACAATAATTGAATACGACCTTCACTGAATTTTATTTAATTTTGCCTTTTTCTTCTAATTGTTCTTTTTTTCTTCTTTTTTGTCACTTCTTTTTAGGCATCCTTCGCAGTTCAACCATTTTAACAACGCATCGTGATAACAGTCGTCACTCGGCACCCATAACAACTACAACAACAATGATTCCCAGCACTTGTAATATAAGTGGTGGTAATTATTCACAGCAGCTGCATCAGCATCATCATCAGCAGCACCATCTACATCATCATTCGCATCCTCATCACAATTCCTATCATCAGCGTAACAGTGTGAAGTTGGCCAGTAATTCACATGAATTGGCGGCGCTGACCGGTAATGGACCCCTCCACTTGTACTCGGCCAATTCAAAAGAAAAATTGCTTAAATCAAATCTTAGATCGAATGGTGGCGGTGGTAAATGGACAATGGCAACAACAACAATAGCCGCCAATACGGGGACCACACCAACAAATGAGAATGTGGTGGGGCCGTGTCCGACAGCGTTTAATGGTGTAAGTGATACAAATTATTTGGCCAATCGAACGGCTTTAATGTCTTGACCAGCAGAATATGAACAAGGAAGAGGTAAAGAAACGGAAGAAGAAGTTGATGCGGAGAAAGCTGCAAAGGATCTATTTAATGGCACACAAACGAACGGAAACGGAAGTTTATTCTGTGGCAGTTTAACATTGACAAATGGTTGTAATGCCAATACGAATACCAACCACACCATTACCACCCTCGCAGTCCCAGCCCCCAACAACTCTGGCCACACATTATTGTTGTACAATAATTCCAGCGATTATGACAAGCCAACTTTCTTCAATGACCAAGCCTTGGAAGTTACGAAGCATGCCAGCAAAAACAACAACAGCACATTTAAATCCAAGCAAGAAGCTATAAACATGGAAGATAGAAATGCTGGTGGCGGTATTAAAATGCTTTATTCAACGACGGCAACTGGAAAATCTAATAGCGTACATAATAATCAGGACAAAACATGGCTTTAAGCCATTCACACAATAAACTATTTTAGCCCACATACCCACAGAGAGAAAAGGCGCACGTGTCCATATGCTGGCTGCAAACGAGGAATTGTATAGAGACAACATTTGTGCAATTGTGCTTTATGCACCCATGCACCCTTGCTAGCTAGTTCGTCGCTAGTTTGTAGTTAGTTTAATTTGAATTTTTTTATTTCAAACTCATGCAAATTTTGATATTCCGTAGTATTAAGAATGTATAGGAAAGTTTTCTTTGTTTTGCATTTTTTCTTTGAGGATATTTAAGGACTGTTCGGGTAACGTAAGAAATTTAGGGCATTAAGGGAAGCCCGCAGGTTTGAAATTTCAATCTTTACACCCTTTGTCCCACGGTTTTTGATCCGAAGTATAATTGGACCAACATATAGGATAGTTCCTTTCTTCATGTCAAACTTATATATTTTTTAAATGTTTCGGTTTTTCCGGTTTCGTAGAGATGCGATTATCCGTTCAAATGTTATACGCGTTGTAAGCTGGGTGTAAAAAAACGGATGACAGGCTTATAAAAATTACACAACTCATTAATACTCATATGATTTTTATTTATACCTCTGTCGTTACTCATTTTAATGTTATGAATAAACCCAGAAAACTGCAATTTTCCGGAAATATGACAACTCTGTCAAATAGTCTGGGATATTATTTTTACATCATTACGCATTCAAAAGTTATGAAGAATTTAAGATTCCTGTGATTTTCAGTTAAGATTGCAACACTGGCAAACACTTGTCGCCAGCGCCACCTATTGAATATGTAGATCCACATCATATATTTTTTCAGCATAACTTTTGTCCTATTGCAGCTACTGCAATGAAAGTGGTATCATTTGAAATTTGGTAGTTTATTAAATCTCAAAATTTAAAGCCTTAACCTTCTCTATATGTTTTGAATCATATCCACCAATAGATGGCGCTGACGACGGATTTATGAAAATTACTCACCTCATTTCGTTTTGCCATAACTTTTTCCATAGTGCAGATATTAAAATAAAATTGGTGGCACATGAAAGGTAAATCGTACTACATAATTCCAGAAAACTGTAATTTTCCGGAAACATAACAAATGTATCAAATATATTATAGGATAGTAGATATTGTATCCTGTACATACCAATTTACTTAGTTCATCATCATCCCGCATTCTGAAGTTGTGAAGAATCTTAAATGCCTAAAATGTTCAATTAAGATGCCAACACTGGCAAACGCTTGTCTTCAGCGCCATCTATTTAATGAGTAGATCCAAATTTAAACCACATATATTTTCGCCATAACTTTTATCCTATTGCAGATACTACAAGGAATGTGGTGTCATTTCTTAAATTTCAATATTTGAACCCTGAGCCTTCTCTATATGAATTGAATCATATCCATCAATAGATGGCGCTGAAGACGGATATATAAAAATTACACACCTCATTTCCTTTTGTCATAACTTTATTCTTGGTGCATATATTAAAATAAAATTGGTGTCATATGAGAGGTACAATCGTACTACTAATAATCCCAGAAAACTGTAATTTTCCGGAAACATTACAACTCTTTTAAACATATCATATATATTGTAGGATGCTGGATGTTCTATGATATACATACCCATTTGAATTATTTCTGCATTCAAAAGTTAGATACCTGTGATCGCAACATGTGGTCAGCGCCATCTATTTAATGAGTAGATCCAAAAACCAATTATCCATAATTTAAACATCATATATTTTTGCCATAACTTTTGTCTTGTTGCAGATACTGCAATGAAAGTGGTGTCATTAAAAAGGGCAAATTTGCTAGTTTATTAAAAGTAAATATTTAAAGCTTATGCCTTATCTGTATGAAATGAATCACATCCATCAATAGATGGCGCTGACAATATATTATATTGTATTTAACATATTGTATTTAACATATTTATTTAACATGTTTCGGAATGCCCGATTTGGGACAAATATACACCTTTTGGTGTATGATTTGTTGCTATTGTAAAAATGACTTCATAATACATCTCTCATAGAAGTCCTGCTCTCTATTTGCAAAACACTCTAGTAGTAGATTTTCACAATCCTCCCTAGATACCAATTTTTATCATTAAAGAAATCGCTTGGGTGCCAATCCGGAATGTATGGCGGTTGCAACCAAGCACTCGAAGTTTCTGGCGAGACACTGTAGATATGTGTTGTCCTAGCGTTGTCCTGTTGGCCAATTCTGGCCGTTTCTGGTCAATTGCTATCTTTAAACGGTCCAGTTGTTAACAGTAGTGATCAGAATTTAGCGTTTGGCCATATGGAAGCAACTCTTAATAAATAATCTCCTTTCAGTCCCACCAAATGTATAGTAGAACCTTCCTGGCCGTTAGTCCTGGTTTGGCCACCGTATGAGGTGCTTCACCGCTCTTTGACCACGATCGTTTTGGCATAGGGTTCTCGTATCTGATCCATTTCTCATCTCCAGTCACCATCCGTTTAAGAAATGAGTCTATCTCATTTCGTTTGGCCAAGGCTTCGTAGATTCGCAAATCCGATCCATCCAATTTTTCCTGTTAATTGGTGTGACCAAACATCGAGCTTCTTTTTGAATCCAGCTTTGTGTAAATGGTTTAAATCAGTTTTATTGTCGATTTTTAGCTCCTTGGCTATGTTACGACTGCTAACATGCTAGTCAACTCTTTGAATCTACCCATTCAATAGATGGCGCTGACGACATGTGCTTGTTAGTGTTTGCAAATTTACAGAAAATCATCGGTTTTTTTTTTAAATTCTTCATAACTTTTGAATGGGTAAAGATACAGAAATAATATAAATGGATATTGATAGCCTTGATTGTCCACTATCTTATTGTTATGCCATGTTTCCGCAAAATTGCAGTTTTCTAAGATTCTTCATAATTTTGGACGCGTAACGGAAGAGGTGCAAATAAAACGCATATGTGTAGCTCAATGTTTGCGGAGGTTGTAATGGTAACAGAAAAGTGAAAATTTATTATTTAAATCCTTTTTTGATATCCAATAACATCGAATTTCAAATATTTATTCAATATTACAAAAAAAGTATATGACAAGTAATTGTGTAAAGAAATAAGGTATGCATACTTAACGATCGTGTCGTCAGCGCCATCTATTGATGGGCACGGTACAAATCGTACACATCAATATTTCGAGTTCATTTTTCGAATCGTATAACTTTTGAACAGATTATCGCATTTCAAAGAAATTGTGTCATTTGAAAGCGTACATAGCCTACTTTACTATGACGAGAAAGTAATTTTTAAGACACACATATTACCGAGAGAAATTAAAAAAAAATTCAATGCCACAATTCATATTTTCATACCCTTCACCACACTGTGGTACAGGGTATTATGTCTCTGTGCATATCTTTGTAACAGGCAAAAGGAAACGAGATAGACACATGGTTCCTTTGGAGAATATGCACAGAATCACTTTCTGAGTCGATTTATGTATGTCTCTCCGTCTGTAGATGTTAAATTGTAAACAAAGTACAGGATGATGAAATTTGGATGAAATTTGGCACAAGTCACTTATTGGCCCAAGAACGAACCCTATATATCATTCGATTTGCACGTAATTTGGCATAGCGTACTGAATTGAGTCTAGAATAATGTGTGCAAAGTTTCGTCAAAATCGGTTCAGATTTAGATATAGCTCCCATATATATTTTCGTCCGATTTAATGAAAATGGTGCACCACTGTCCCTATTTGTGCACCAATGCCCCCTTGCCATAGCGTAGAATGATGTGCGATAAGCTTCGTGAAAATCGTTCCAGATTTAGATATAGCTCTCATATATATTTCTAACGACAAGTGTTTGCCAGTGCCGGCAAGTTTAAAGAAAATCATTGGTATTTTACTCAGCACTAGCCACATTTATAATCAATATTGGATATAGTTTACGATTTTAATATAGTCGGGTTTGGCCACTACTTTAAAATCCAATATTTCATGAACCTGGAGGATTGGATTTCACACTGCTCGGAAACCCTTCATTATATCTTTGTTTGCTTCTATTATTTTTGAAAGGACATTTCTTCAGCCAAATCAAATGAGAAAAATTATAGTGACACATATCCATCTTCTATCTCCAGTCCTTGTTCAACTTTTTCGTCCTTATTTTTCTTTGGATATACATTAGACATCTACACTTACCAATATACATTTATAATACTCTACATCATGGACGTAAATTTACTGTGAATTTTTTTCACAGTAAATTTATGTTTGCAATAGCGATATTTTTCATTTTGTACTACCGGGCCCCACCCGAAATGAAATTCTGTGTACGTTGCTGTCCTACATGTCCAAATAAATATTTGATACGCTCTTTTGCATTATATTTATAAAAAAAAAATTATGCAGTATTCGAAGCAGAACTAAAAATGTATTCAAGTACCCCGAACAGTCCTTAAATTCACACACACACACAAACTGCGGGCAGTTATAAATTCACCTACATATATTTTTTCTATATTATTTATATTCACGCTAAGTTTACGAGAAGAACAACTCCAACA